TATATATATATATTAATGTTCAAACATTGCTTCATGTTTCAATGTGTGGAAAAAAAGGCCTTACTATGGCTAGTTGACCATTTTAAAAATATGTATAAATCTTCAAAGAAATCTTCAAAAGTACTTGATATATGTAGCTGAAAATGTAAGCAATGACTGTAAGTGTTAAAATCCTGCAGAATAAAATTTGTATACAAATCAGATAGTTGAGCAGGATATGTTGTAAAAATTGGCTGATTTCAGACGAAGTTACACTAAAAGATTCTACAACAGGACACCTAAACTGCTGACGTGTCAAATCTGCATATAGACTAAGCCTTTAAATTCTTTTTTTACATTTAATAGTTACTCCCAGTCACCGCTGTGGCTGTAGCTAAGAGAAGAGATAAAACCTGCACTTTATGCATTTATGAAGTACTCAATTGTAATCCATAGATTATCTCATGTTGCAATGATAGTTATGTCTAACTGACTAAAGCCCTTAAATCACACACTTCTAACACTATATTACTCTACAGTGCTTTACCTTTCACACACACTCATACCTCTGCTTCACCTGTAGGAGATGTGTTGATGAAGCTTGCATGTAAGTTCAGTGAGGAAGCTCTGTACTCACACATCTGGTTCCCAGGTGTTTGGTAGCTAATCTAAGATTCATATAATTTCCCCTTTCCCATGCTGTCATACTCATTGTCACGATGGGCTAGTCCAGGGGTGGGCAATTCCAGGCCTCGAGGGCCGGTGTCCTGCAGGTTTTAGATCTCACCTTGGATCAACACACCTGAATCACATGATTAGTTCGTTGCCAGGCCTCTGGAGAACTTCAGGACATGTTGAGGAGCTAATTTAGCCATTTAAATCAGCTGTGTTGGTTCAAGGACACATCTAAAACTTGCAGGGACACCGGCCCTCGAGGCCTGGAGTTGCCCACCCCCTGGGCTAGTCCAATCATCTTTATGCCGGCTTTCTTCAGTTAACCTAAATTGCTCTCTGATGCATCCATCAGAGTATGAATATGTGTGAATGTTAGTAAGTACTTAAAAATCACTTAAAGCACTTAACTGATCCAATCAGTTAAGTGCTTTAAGTGCTCTGGGAGAATAGAAAAGCACTATATAAGAATCAGTCCATTTAGTTGGTGCTCCCTTCCTTGGCCTAAGAAAAAGCATGGGATTAGTATGAATTATATTTATCTGGCAGTTTCCAATTTGGTTAAAAGCCTTCAGGTATCAGGTTGTTCTCCTTTGTCACCACTTCCCAGTTAATGAGGTGAGCCTGAACCATCCCTTAGATAGGCTGTTATAGATTTGGGCTTTCTCATGCACTGAGCATTTTTTTTTACTTCACTTACTTCTTCTCACTTGATGAATTTACACACTACTACTGCATATCACTCCTGATCTTCATTCATCTTTCTCTGTATTCGTCTCACTTTTCTCCCATTTGTTGTTCCTGGTCTCTCCACTTTTGTCTCTTCTTTTTTCTCACCCTTTAACCATTCAAGGCAGATGTCTGCCCTTCCTTCAGCTTCTTTCTGTTGGAGATGTCTTGCTGTTCATAGTATAGTGCTTTGTCTTAAGAACTTTAAAAAAGAAGGGGACGCCTTGTGGATGAGAGGTGAAACGTCTTTACAAACTTAAAGTCCAGCTCTTAAGATTGTTATGACCTTTATAATTGAGAACCTGAACAGATCTAATGCTACATATTTTAATTTGTATTGCACCAAGCATGCCTGTTTACATGCACTAGGCTATTTGCATCAAGGGGCAAGAGTTTTGTTATATTAGGGGTTTATTTAAAATCAATCTAAAGGTAAAACATCAAAGAAATTGAAATTAAAACTTGGTGAACAAAGGCAGAACAGAATCTCAGCAGTGACAGGACTTAGGACTAGGGATGGGTATCGAAAACCGGTTCTTGTTGAGAACCGGTTCCCACTGTTTCAATTCCTTGGAATTGTTTGCCATTTTTGCAAACGATTCCCTTATCGATTCCAGTCGCCCCGAATGACGTCAGCACGTCGCGGAGCATCATTTACCTGGCAGGAAACACGGCGCCTAAGCAGCTCAAACGCTCAAAAGTTTGGTTATACTTTACGAGAACGGATGACAACAGGGCAACTTGCAATACTTGCAAAGTAGATATTTCATTTAAGGGAGGAAACACTCCGAATATGCAAAAGCATTTGCTCACAAAACACGCGATGACCT